TCCCGGAGGAGTTTGTAAAGGCGTTGTCCCTGACGTATTGGAGGGCCGCCCCGGTGTTGAGGGTCTGCCTCCTCTATGTCTCAGCCCTCTGACTGTATCCAAAATATCCTGTCTTGTGGTGTATGTGTTCAGATAGAAATGGATCTCTGCATCTCTGCTGTATTGGACCACAGAGACACGGTCATTGTTAGGTCCTACATTCAATTTCTCCACCACTCTCTTAACAAAATCAAGCATGGCAGGGAAGCCATTCCGTGTGCCATCAGAACCATCCAGGAGGAAAACGATATCCTTTTTGGCAGTATCGACTGAGAAAAGACAGGAAGACATCAGGTGAATTTTTTTGCCAAATCTACGCTGCTGGGCTAATCATCAAGTGTGCAATTTTTATTTGATTTCTCTTTTTGTTTTTCAGTCACCTAACGCTGGCTAATTTAATGTAAACAATGGAGAAAACCTCCCCCTCATTTTGAAATGCGGCTACACAAATTTCACACTTATTTTCCTTGCCTCAGTGTAGGTCAAACAAATCATGTATCTATCAGGCCTGTAAGGGGCCATGCTTGTTAACATACCAGGAACAGGTGGTGATTCTGGGGAGACCTCGATAACCACAGCCTCCACGGAGGACTGAAGTTGTTGTTGGACATTGGGAAGGTCAGTGAATTCAGACACAGTTAGTGCATAGCTGGGGTCGTGGGATATCTTCTGCAGTTCTTTGCTATCAGCACTCCTGGTTCCAATTGCAAAGGTCAAGACACCCAGCTCTTTGAGAGCAGAGGCTGGTGCATCAACACTGTCAAAAGACCTTCCACCACTTATCAAAACTAGGACCTGTGGGACTCCTTCCTGGAGCCTGCTTCCAGCAGAGGCCGTGAAGACATTATCCCTCAAGTACTGGAGAGCTGCTCCAGTGTTGAGGGGTCTTCCACCTTTGTGCCTCAATCCTCTGACAGTGTCAAGGATGTCGCCTTTTGTGGTGTACGTGTTCAGATAGAATTGGGCAGCTGGCTCTTTGCTGTACTGAACCACTGAGACACGGTCTTTGTTGTCATCCACACTGAGTGTCTCTACAACTCTTTGGACAAAGTCTTTCACAGCTGGGAAGCCAGTTCTAGTACCATCAGATCCATCCAACAAGAACACAATATCTTTTCCTGCTGGCTGTCTCTCCACTAGGGAATAAAAAATGTCAGACATGTTCAGGTTCATGTGTCAAATGTTTTCCATGTGAAAGTCAGATGACCAAAGCTAACCTGGAATTTAACAATGTACTCTGTATAATCTGGAACAAATGTATTCTCAGAGTGCTGCTGGCTTGCCTCAGCTACAATAAATACACTGTCATACTGTTCAATTTGCATCCTACCATGACCTTGGAAAATAAAAATCTGTCACTTTCTTACCAGCTTTTGTTGGTGTGATGGGCGTGGCCCTGGTTAGCACTGTGTTCATTACAGAGGAGAGCTGTTCCTGGGCACTGGGGAGGTCAGTGAAATCAGACACTGATAGAGCAGAACTAGGGTCATATGATATCTTCTGCAGCTCCCTAGTGTCAGAGTTCCTTGTGCCAATGCCTATCACATAGACACCCTGCTGTTTGAGAGCAGAGGCTGGGGTATCTACATTGTCAAAAGACCTTCCACCATTTAGCAGGATCAACATTTGTGGAACACCTTGCAGGCGCCTGCTCCCGGAGGAGTTTGTAAAGGCGTTGTCCCTGACGTATTGGAGGGCCGCCCCGGTGTTGAGGGGTCTGCCTCCTCTATGTCTCAGCCCTCTGACTGTATCCAAAATATCCTGTCTTGTGGTGTATGTGTTCAGATAGAAATGGATCTCTGCATCTCTGCTGTATTGGACCACAGAGACACGGTCATTGTTAGGTCCTACATTCAATTTCTCCACCACTCTCTTAACAAAATCAAGCATGGCAGGGAAGCCATTCCGTGTGCCATCAGAACCATCCAGGAGGAAAACGATATCCTTTTTGGCAGTATCGACTGAGAAAAGACAGGAAGACATCAGGTGAATTTTTTTGCCAAATCTACGCTGCTGGGCTAATCATCAAGTGTGCAATTTTTATTTGATTTCTCTTTTTTTGTTTTTCAGTCACCTAACGCTGGCTAATTTAATGTAAACAATGGGAGAAAACCTCCCCCTCATTTTGAAATGCGGCTACACAAATTTCACACTTATTTTCCTTGCCTCAGTGTAGGTCAAACAAATCATGTATCTATCAGGCCTGTAAGGGGCCATGCTTGTTAACATACCAGGAACAGGTGGTGATTCTGGGGAGACCTCGATAACCACAGCCTCCACGGAGGACTGAAGTTGTTGTTGGACATTGGGAAGGTCAGTGAATTCAGACACAGTTAGTGCATAGCTGGGGTCGTGGGATATCTTCTGCAGTTCTTTGCTATCAGCACTCCTGGTTCCAATTGCAAAGGTCAAGACACCCAGCTCTTTGAGAGCAGAGGCTGGTGCATCAACACTGTCAAAAGACCTTCCACCACTTATCAAAACTAGGACCTGTGGGACTCCTTCCTGGAGCCTGCTTCCAGCAGAGGCCGTGAAGACATTATCCCTCAAGTACTGGAGAGCTGCTCCAGTGTTGAGGGGTCTTCCACCTTTGTGCCTCAATCCTCTGACAGTGTCAAGGATGTCGCCTTTTGTGGTGTACGTGTTCAGATAGAATTGGGCAGCTGGCTCTTTGCTGTACTGAACCACTGAGACACGGTCTTTGTTGTCATCCACACTGAGTGTCTCTACAACTCTTTGGACAAAGTCTTTCACAGCTGGGAAGCCAGTTCTAGTACCATCAGATCCATCCAACAAGAACACAATATCTTTTCCTGCTGGCTGTCTCTCCACTAGGGAATAAAAAATGTCAGACATGTTCAGGTTCATGTGTCAAATGTTTTCCATGTGAAAGTCAGATGACCAAAGCTAACCTGGAATTTAACAATGTACTCTGTATAATCTGGAACAAATGTATTCTCAGAGTGCTGCTGGCTTGCCTCAGCTACAATAAATACACTGTCATACTGTTCAATTTGCATCCTACCATGACCTTGGAAAATAAAAATCTGTCACTTTCTTACCAGCTTTTGTGTGTGATGGGCGTGGCCCTGGTTAGCACTGTGTTCATTACAGAGGAGAGCTGTTCCTGGGCACTGGGGAGGTCAGTGAAATCAGACACTGATAGAGCAGAACTAGGGTCATATGATATCTTCTGCAGCTCCCTAGTGTCAGAGTTCCTTGTGCCAATGCCTATCACATAGACACCCTGCTGTTTGAGAGCAGAGGCTGGGGTATCTACATTGTCAAAAGACCTTCCACCATTTAGCAGGATCAACATTTGTGGAACACCTTGCAGGCGCCTGCTCCCGGAGGAGTTTGTAAAGGCGTTGTCCCTGACGTATTGGAGGGCCGCCCCGGTGTTGAGGGGTCTGCCTCCTCTATGTCTCAGCCCTCTGACTGTATCCAAAATATCCTGTCTTGTGGTGTATGTGTTCAGATAGAAATGGATCTCTGCATCTCTGCTGTATTGGACCACAGAGACACGGTCATTGTTAGGTCCTACATTCAATTTCTCCACCACTCTCTTAACAAAATCAAGCATGGCAGGGAAGCCATTCCGTGTGCCATCAGAACCATCCAGGAGGAAAACGATATCCTTTTTGGCAGTATCGACTGAGAAAAGACAGGAAGACATCAGGTGAATTTTTTTGCCAAATCTACGCTGCTGGGCTAATCATCAAGTGGTGCAATTTTTATTTGATTTCTCTTTTTTTGTTTTTCAGTCACCTAACGCTGGCTAATTTAATGTAAACAATGGGAGAAAACCTCCCCCTCATTTTGAAATGCGGCTACACAAATTTCACACTTATTTTCCTTGCCTCAGTGTAGGTCAAACAAATCATGTATCTATCAGGCCTGTAAGGGGCCATGCTTGTTAACATACCAGGAACAGGTGGTGATTCTGGGGAGACCTCGATAACCACAGCCTCCACGGAGGACTGAAGTTGTTGTTGGACATTGGGAAGGTCAGTGAATTCAGACACAGTTAGTGCATAGCTGGGGTCGTGGGATATCTTCTGCAGTTCTTTGCTATCAGCACTCCTGGTTCCAATTGCAAAGGTCAAGACACCCAGCTCTTTGAGAGCAGAGGCTGGTGCATCAACACTGTCAAAAGACCTTCCACCACTTATCAAAACTAGGACCTGTGGGACTCCTTCCTGGAGCCTGCTTCCAGCAGAGGCCGTGAAGACATTATCCCTCAAGTACTGGAGAGCTGCTCCAGTGTTGAGGGGTCTTCCACCTTTGTGCCTCAATCCTCTGACAGTGTCAAGGATGTCGCCTTTTGTGGTGTACGTGTTCAGATAGAATTGGGCAGCTGGCTCTTTGCTGTACTGAACCACTGAGACACGGTCTTTGTTGTCATCCACACTGAGTGTCTCTACAACTCTTTGGACAAAGTCTTTCACAGCTGGGAAGCCAGTTCTAGTACCATCAGATCCATCCAACAAGAACACAATATCTTTTCCTGCTGGCTGTCTCTCCACTAGGGAATAAAAAATGTCAGACATGTTCAGGTTCATGTGTCAAATGTTTTCCATGTGAAAGTCAGATGACCAAAGCTAACCTGGAATTTAACAATGTACTCTGTATAATCTGGAACAAATGTATTCTCAGAGTGCTGCTGGCTTGCCTCAGCTACAATAAATACACTGTCATACTGTTCAATTTGCATCCTACCATGACCTTGGAAAATAAAAATCTGTCACTTTCTTACCAGCTTTTTTTGGTGTGATGGGCGTGGCCCTGGTTAGCACTGTGTTCATTACAGAGGAGAGCTGTTCCTGGGCACTGGGGAGGTCAGTGAAATCAGACACTGATAGAGCAGAACTAGGGTCATATGATATCTTCTGCAGCTCCCTAGTGTCAGAGTTCCTTGTGCCAATGCCTATCACATAGACACCCTGCTGTTTGAGAGCAGAGGCTGGGGTATCTACATTGTCAAAAGACCTTCCACCATTTAGCAGGATCAACATTTGTGGAACACCTTGCAGGCGCCTGCTCCCGGAGGAGTTTGTAAAGGCGTTGTCCCTGACGTATTGGAGGGCCGCCCCGGTGTTGAGGGGTCTGCCTCCTCTATGTCTCAGCCCTCTGACTGTATCCAAAATATCCTGTCTTGTGGTGTATGTGTTCAGATAGAAATGGATCTCTGCATCTCTGCTGTATTGGACCACAGAGACACGGTCATTGTTAGGTCCTACATTCAATTTCTCCACCACTCTCTTAACAAAATCAAGCATGGCAGGGAAGCCATTCCGTGTGCCATCAGAACCATCCAGGAGGAAAACGATATCCTTTTTGGCAGTATCGACTGAGAAAAGACAGGAAGACATCAGGTGAATTTTTTTGCCAAATCTACGCTGCTGGGCTAATCATCAAGTGGTGCAATTTTTATTTGATTTCTCTTTTTTGTTTTTCAGTCACCTAACGCTGGCTAATTTAATGTAAACAATGGGAGAAAACCTCCCCCTCATTTTGAAATGCGGCTACACAAATTTCACACTTATTTTCCTTGCCTCAGTGTAGGTCAAACAAATCATGTATCTATCAGGCCTGTAAGGGGCCATGCTTGTTAACATACCAGGAACAGGTGGTGATTCTGGGGAGACCTCGATAACCACAGCCTCCACGGAGGACTGAAGTTGTTGTTGGACATTGGGAAGGTCAGTGAATTCAGACACAGTTAGTGCATAGCTGGGGTCGTGGGATATCTTCTGCAGTTCTTTGCTATCAGCACTCCTGGTTCCAATTGCAAAGGTCAAGACACCCAGCTCTTTGAGAGCAGAGGCTGGTGCATCAACACTGTCAAAAGACCTTCCACCACTTATCAAAACTAGGACCTGTGGGACTCCTTCCTGGAGCCTGCTTCCAGCAGAGGCCGTGAAGACATTATCCCTCAAGTACTGGAGAGCTGCTCCAGTGTTGAGGGGTCTTCCACCTTTGTGCCTCAATCCTCTGACAGTGTCAAGGATGTCGCCTTTTGTGGTGTACGTGTTCAGATAGAATTGGGCAGCTGGCTCTTTGCTGTACTGAACCACTGAGACACGGTCTTTGTTGTCATCCACACTGAGTGTCTCTACAACTCTTTGGACAAAGTCTTTCACAGCTGGGAAGCCAGTTCTAGTACCATCAGATCCATCCAACAAGAACACAATATCTTTTCCTGCTGGCTGTCTCTCCACTAGGGAATAAAAAATGTCAGACATGTTCAGGTTCATGTGTCAAATGTTTTCCATGTGAAAGTCAGATGACCAAAGCTAACCTGGAATTTAACAATGTACTCTGTATAATCTGGAACAAATGTATTCTCAGAGTGCTGCTGGCTTGCCTCAGCTACAATAAATACACTGTCATACTGTTCAATTTGCATCCTACCATGACCTTGGAAAATAAAAATCTGTCACTTTCTTACCAGCTTTTGTTGGTGTGATGGGCGTGGCCCTGGTTAGCACTGTGTTCATTACAGAGGAGAGCTGTTCCTGGGCACTGGGGAGGTCAGTGAAATCAGACACTGATAGAGCAGAACTAGGGTCATATGATATCTTCTGCAGCTCCCTAGTGTCAGAGTTCCTTGTGCCAATGCCTATCACATAGACACCCTGCTGTTTGAGAGCAGAGGCTGGGGTATCTACATTGTCAAAAGACCTTCCACCATTTAGCAGGATCAACATTTGTGGAACACCTTGCAGGCGCCTGCTCCCGGAGGAGTTTGTAAAGGCGTTGTCCCTGACGTATTGGAGGGCCGCCCCGGTGTTGAGGGGTCTGCCTCCTCTATGTCTCAGCCCTCTGACTGTATCCAAAATATCCTGTCTTGTGGTGTATGTGTTCAGATAGAAATGGATCTCTGCATCTCTGCTGTATTGGACCACAGAGACACGGTCATTGTTAGGTCCTACATTCAATTTCTCCACCACTCTCTTAACAAAATCAAGCATGGCAGGGAAGCCATTCCGTGTGCCATCAGAACCATCCAGGAGGAAAACGATATCCTTTTTGGCAGTATCGACTGAGAAAAGACAGGAAGACATCAGGTGAATTTTTTTGCCAAATCTACGCTGCTGGGCTAATCATCAAGTGGTGCAATTTTTATTTGATTTCTCTTTTTTGTTTTTCAGTCACCTAACGCTGGCTAATTTAATGTAAACAATGGGAGAAAACCTCCCCCTCATTTTGAAATGCGGCTACACAAATTTCACACTTATTTTCCTTGCCTCAGTGTAGGTCAAACAAATCATGTATCTATCAGGCCTGTAAGGGGCCATGCTTGTTAACATACCAGGAACAGGTGGTGATTCTGGGGAGACCTCGATAACCACAGCCTCCACGGAGGACTGAAGTTGTTGTTGGACATTGGGAAGGTCAGTGAATTCAGACACAGTTAGTGCATAGCTGGGGTCGTGGGATATCTTCTGCAGTTCTTTGCTATCAGCACTCCTGGTTCCAATTGCAAAGGTCAAGACACCCAGCTCTTTGAGAGCAGAGGCTGGTGCATCAACACTGTCAAAAGACCTTCCACCACTTATCAAAACTAGGACCTGTGGGACTCCTTCCTGGAGCCTGCTTCCAGCAGAGGCCGTGAAGACATTATCCCTCAAGTACTGGAGAGCTGCTCCAGTGTTGAGGGGTCTTCCACCTTTGTGCCTCAATCCTCTGACAGTGTCAAGGATGTCGCCTTTTGTGGTGTACGTGTTCAGATAGAATTGGGCAGCTGGCTCTTTGCTGTACTGAACCACTGAGACACGGTCTTTGTTGTCATCCACACTGAGTGTCTCTACAACTCTTTGGACAAAGTCTTTCACAGCTGGGAAGCCAGTTCTAGTACCATCAGATCCATCCAACAAGAACACAATATCTTTTCCTGCTGGCTGTCTCTCCACTAGGGAATAAAAAATGTCAGACATGTTCAGGTTCATGTGTCAAATGTTTTCCATGTGAAAGTCAGATGACCAAAGCTAACCTGGAATTTAACAATGTACTCTGTATAATCTGGAACAAATGTATTCTCAGAGTGCTGCTGGCTTGCCTCAGCTACAATAAATACACTGTCATACTGTTCAATTTGCATCCTACCATGACCTTGGAAAATAAAAATCTGTCACTTTCTTACCAGCTTTTGTTGGTGTGATGGGCGTGGCCCTGGTTAGCACTGTGTTCATTACAGAGGAGAGCTGTTCCTGGGCACTGGGGAGGTCAGTGAAATCAGACACTGATAGAGCAGAACTAGGGTCATATGATATCTTCTGCAGCTCCCTAGTGTCAGAGTTCCTTGTGCCAATGCCTATCACATAGACACCCTGCTGTTTGAGAGCAGAGGCTGGGGTATCTACATTGTCAAAAGACCTTCCACCATTTAGCAGGATCAACATTTGTGGAACACCTTGCAGGCGCCTGCTCCCGGAGGAGTTTGTAAAGGCGTTGTCCCTGACGTATTGGAGGGCCGCCCCGGTGTTGAGGGGTCTGCCTCCTCTATGTCTCAGCCCTCTGACTGTATCCAAAATATCCTGTCTTGTGGTGTATGTGTTCAGATAGAAATGGATCTCTGCATCTCTGCTGTATTGGACCACAGAGACACGGTCATTGTTAGGTCCTACATTCAATTTCTCCACCACTCTCTTAACAAAATCAAGCATGGCAGGGAAGCCATTCCGTGTGCCATCAGAACCATCCAGGAGGAAAACGATATCCTTTTTGGCAGTATCGACTGAGAAAAGACAGGAAGACATCAGGTGAATTTTTTTGCCAAATCTACGCTGCTGGGCTAATCATCAAGTGGTGCAATTTTTATTTGATTTCTCTTTTTTGTTTTTCAGTCACCTAACGCTGGCTAATTTAATGTAAACAATGGGAGAAAACCTCCCCCTCATTTTGAAATGCGGCTACACAAATTTCACACTTATTTTCCTTGCCTCAGTGTAGGTCAAACAAATCATGTATCTATCAGGCCTGTAAGGGGCCATGCTTGTTAACATACCAGGAACAGGTGGTGATTCTGGGGAGACCTCGATAACCACAGCCTCCACGGAGGACTGAAGTTGTTGTTGGACATTGGGAAGGTCAGTGAATTCAGACACAGTTAGTGCATAGCTGGGGTCGTGGGATATCTTCTGCAGTTCTTTGCTATCAGCACTCCTGGTTCCAATTGCAAAGGTCAAGACACCCAGCTCTTTGAGAGCAGAGGCTGGTGCATCAACACTGTCAAAAGACCTTCCACCACTTATCAAAACTAGGACCTGTGGGACTCCTTCCTGGAGCCTGCTTCCAGCAGAGGCCGTGAAGACATTATCCCTCAAGTACTGGAGAGCTGCTCCAGTGTTGAGGGGTCTTCCACCTTTGTGCCTCAATCCTCTGACAGTGTCAAGGATGTCGCCTTTTGTGGTGTACGTGTTCAGATAGAATTGGGCAGCTGGCTCTTTGCTGTACTGAACCACTGAGACACGGTCTTTGTTGTCATCCACACTGAGTGTCTCTACAACTCTTTGGACAAAGTCTTTCACAGCTGGGAAGCCAGTTCTAGTACCATCAGATCCATCCAACAAGAACACAATATCTTTTCCTGCTGGCTGTCTCTCCACTAGGGAATAAAAAATGTCAGACATGTTCAGGTTCATGTGTCAAATGTTTTCCATGTGAAAGTCAGATGACCAAAGCTAACCTGGAATTTAACAATGTACTCTGTATAATCTGGAACAAATGTATTCTCAGAGTGCTGCTGGCTTGCCTCAGCTACAATAAATACACTGTCATACTGTTCAATTTGCATCCTACCATGACCTTGGAAAATAAAAATCTGTCACTTTCTTACCAGCTTTTGTTGGTGTGATGGGCGTGGCCCTGGTTAGCACTGTGTTCATTACAGAGGAGAGCTGTTCCTGGGCACTGGGGAGGTCAGTGAAATCAGACACTGATAGAGCAGAACTAGGGTCATATGATATCTTCTGCAGCTCCCTAGTGTCAGAGTTCCTTGTGCCAATGCCTATCACATAGACACCCTGCTGTTTGAGAGCAGAGGCTGGGGTATCTACATTGTCAAAAGACCTTCCACCATTTAGCAGGATCAACATTTGTGGAACACCTTGCAGGCGCCTGCTCCCGGAGGAGTTTGTAAAGGCGTTGTCCCTGACGTATTGGAGGGCCGCCCCGGTGTTGAGGGGTCTGCCTCCTCTATGTCTCAGCCCTCTGACTGTATCCAAAATATCCTGTCTTGTGGTGTATGTGTTCAGATAGAAATGGATCTCTGCATCTCTGCTGTATTGGACCACAGAGACACGGTCATTGTTAGGTCCTACATTCAATTTCTCCACCACTCTCTTAACAAAATCAAGCATGGCAGGGAAGCCATTCCGTGTGCCATCAGAACCATCCAGGAGGAAAACGATATCCTTTTTGGCAGTATCGACTGAGAAAAGACAGGAAGACATCAGGTGAATTTTTTTGCCAAATCTACGCTGCTGGGCTAATCATCAAGTGGTGCAATTTTTATTTGATTTCTCTTTTTTTGTTTTTCAGTCACCTAACGCTGGCTAATTTAATGTAAACAATGGGAGAAAACCTCCCCCTCATTTTGAAATGCGGCTACACAAATTTCACACTTATTTTCCTTGCCTCAGTGTAGGTCAAACAAATCATGTATCTATCAGGCCTGTAAGGGGCCATGCTTGTTAACATACCAGGAACAGGTGGTGATTCTGGGGAGACCTCGATAACCACAGCCTCCACGGAGGACTGAAGTTGTTGTTGGACATTGGGAAGGTCAGTGAATTCAGACACAGTTAGTGCATAGCTGGGGTCGTGGGATATCTTCTGCAGTTCTTTGCTATCAGCACTCCTGGTTCCAATTGCAAAGGTCAAGACACCCAGCTCTTTGAGAGCAGAGGCTGGTGCATCAACACTGTCAAAAGACCTTCCACCACTTATCAAAACTAGGACCTGTGGGACTCCTTCCTGGAGCCTGCTTCCAGCAGAGGCCGTGAAGACATTATCCCTCAAGTACTGGAGAGCTGCTCCAGTGTTGAGGGGTCTTCCACCTTTGTGCCTCAATCCTCTGACAGTGTCAAGGATGTCGCCTTTTGTGGTGTACGTGTTCAGATAGAATTGGGCAGCTGGCTCTTTGCTGTACTGAACCACTGAGACACGGTCTTTGTTGTCATCCACACTGAGTGTCTCTACAACTCTTTGGACAAAGTCTTTCACAGCTGGGAAGCCAGTTCTAGTACCATCAGATCCATCCAACAAGAACACAATATCTTTTCCTGCTGGCTGTCTCTCCACTAGGGAATAAAAAATGTCAGACATGTTCAGGTTCATGTGTCAAATGTTTTCCATGTGAAAGTCAGATGACCAAAGCTAACCTGGAATTTAACAATGTACTCTGTATAATCTGGAACAAATGTATTCTCAGAGTGCTGCTGGCTTGCCTCAGCTACAATAAATACACTGTCATACTGTTCAATTTGCATCCTACCATGACCTTGGAAAATAAAAATCTGTCACTTTCTTACCAGCTTTTGTTGGTGTGATGGGCGTGGCCCTGGTTAGCACTGTGTTCATTACAGAGGAGAGCTGTTCCTGGGCACTGGGGAGGTCAGTGAAATCAGACACTGATAGAGCAGAACTAGGGTCATATGATATCTTCTGCAGCTCCCTAGTGTCAGAGTTCCTTGTGCCAATGCCTATCACATAGACACCCTGCTGTTTGAGAGCAGAGGCTGGGGTATCTACATTGTCAAAAGACCTTCCACCATTTAGCAGGATCAACATTTGTGGAACACCTTGCAGGCGCCTGCTCCCGGAGGAGTTTGTAAAGGCGTTGTCCCTGACGTATTGGAGGGCCGCCCCGGTGTTGAGGGGTCTGCCTCCTCTATGTCTCAGCCCTCTGACTGTATCCAAAATATCCTGTCTTGTGGTGTATGTGTTCAGATAGAAATGGATCTCTGCATCTCTGCTGTATTGGACCACAGAGACACGGTCATTGTTAGGTCCTACATTCAATTTCTCCACCACTCTCTTAACAAAATCAAGCATGGCAGGGAAGCCATTCCGTGTGCCATCAGAACCATCCAGGAGGAAAACGATATCCTTTTTGGCAGTATCGACTGAGAAAAGACAGGAAGACATCAGGTGAATTTTTTTGCCAAATCTACGCTGCTGGGCTAATCATCAAGTGGTGCAATTTTTATTTGATTTCTCTTTTTTTGTTTTTCAGTCACCTAACGCTGGCTAATTTAATGTAAACAATGGGAGAAAACCTCCCCCTCATTTTGAATGCGGCTACACAAATTTCACACTTATTTTCCTTGCCTCAGTGTAGGTCAAACAAATCATGTATCTATCAGGCCTGTAAGGGGCCATGCTTGTTAACATACCAGGAACAGGTGGTGATTCTGGGGAGACCTCGATAACCACAGCCTCCACGGAGGACTGAAGTTGTTGTTGGACATTGGGAAGGTCAGTGAATTCAGACACAGTTAGTGCATAGCTGGGGTCGTGGGATATCTTCTGCAGTTCTTTGCTATCAGCACTCCTGGTTCCAATTGCAAAGGTCAAGACACCCAGCTCTTTGAGAGCAGAGGCTGGTGCATCAACACTGTCAAAAGACCTTCCACCACTTATCAAAACTAGGACCTGTGGGACTCCTTCCTGGAGCCTGCTTCCAGCAGAGGCCGTGAAGACATTATCCCTCAAGTACTGGAGAGCTGCTCCAGTGTTGAGGGGTCTTCCACCTTTGTGCCTCAATCCTCTGACAGTGTCAAGGATGTCGCCTTTTGTGGTGTACGTGTTCAGATAGAATTGGGCAGCTGGCTCTTTGCTGTACTGAACCACTGAGACACGGTCTTTGTTGTCATCCACACTGAGTGTCTCTACAACTCTTTGGACAAAGTCTTTCACAGCTGGGAAGCCAGTTCTAGTACCATCAGATCCATCCAACAAGAACACAATATCTTTTCCTGCTGGCTGTCTCTCCACTAGGGAATAAAAAATGTCAGACATGTTCAGGTTCATGTGTCAAATGTTTTCCATGTGAAAGTCAGATGACCAAAGCTAACCTGGAATTTAACAATGTACTCTGTATAATCTGGAACAAATGTATTCTCAGAGTGCTGCTGGCTTGCCTCAGCTACAATAAATACACTGTCATACTGTTCAATTTGCATCCTACCATGACCTTGGAAAATAAAAATCTGTCACTTTCTTACCAGCTTTTGTTGGTGTGATGGGCGTGGCCCTGGTTAGCACTGTGTTCATTACAGAGGAGAGCTGTTCCTGGGCACTGGGGAGGTCAGTGAAATCAGACACTGATAGAGCAGAACTAGGGTCATATGATATCTTCTGCAGCTCCCTAGTGTCAGAGTTCCTTGTGCCAATGCCTATCACATAGACACCCTGCTGTTTGAGAGCAGAGGCTGGGGTATCTACATTGTCAAAAGACCTTCCACCATTTAGCAGGATCAACATTTGTGGAACACCTTGCAGGCGCCTGCTCCCGGAGGAGTTTGTAAAGGCGTTGTCCCTGACGTATTGGAGGGCCGCCCCGGTGTTGAGGGGTCTGCCTCCTCTATGTCTCAGCCCTCTGACTGTATCCAAAATATCCTGTCTTGTGGTGTATGTGTTCAGATAGAAATGGATCTCTGCATCTCTGCTGTATTGGACCACAGAGACACGGTCATTGTTAGGTCCTACATTCAATTTCTCCACCACTCTCTTAACAAAATCAAGCATGGCAGGGAAGCCATTCCGTGTGCCATCAGAACCATCCAGGAGGAAAACGATATCCTTTTTGGCAGTATCGACTGAGAAAAGACAGGAAGACATCAGGTGAATTTTTTTGCCAAATCTACGCTGCTGGGCTAATCATCAAGTGGTGCAATTTTTATTTGATTTCTCTTTTTTTGTTTTTCAGTCACCTAACGCTGGCTAATTTAATGTAAACAATGGGAGAAAACCTCCCCCTCATTTTGAATTGCGGCTACACAAATTTCACACTTATTTTCCTTGCCTCAGTGTAGGTCAAACAAATCATGTATCTATCAGGCCTGTAAGGGGCCATGCTTGTTAACATACCAGGAACAGGTGGTGATTCTGGGGAGACCTCGATAACCACAGCCTCCACGGAGGACTGAAGTTGTTGTTGGACATTGGGAAGGTCAGTGAATTCAGACACAGTTAGTGCATAGCTGGGGTCGTGGGATATCTTCTGCAGTTCTTTGCTATCAGCACTCCTGGTTCCAATTGCAAAGGTCAAGACACCCAGCTCTTTGAGAGCAGAGGCTGGTGCATCAACACTGTCAAAAGACCTTCCACCACTTATCAAAACTAGGACCTGTGGGACTCCTTCCTGGAGCCTGCTTCCAGCAGAGGCCGTGAAGACATTATCCCTCAAGTACTGGAGAGCTGCTCCAGTGTTGAGGGTCTTCCACCTTTGTGCCTCAATCCTCTGACAGTGTCAAGGATGTCGCCTTTTGTGGTGTACGTGTTCAGATAGAATTGGGCAGCTGGCTCTTTGCTGTACTGAACCACTGAGACACGGTCTTTGTTGTCATCCACACTGAGTGTCTCTACAACTCTTTGGACAAAGTCTTTCACAGCTGGGAAGCCAGTTCTAGTACCATCAGATCCATCCAACAAGAACACAATATCTTTTCCTGCTGGCTGTCTCTCCACTAGGGAATAAAAAATGTCAGACATGTTCAGGTTCATGTGTCAAATGTTTTCCATGTGAAAGTCAGATGACCAAAGCTAACCTGGAATTTAACAATGTACTCTGTATAATCTGGAACAAATGTATTCTCAGAGTGCTGCTGGCTTGCCTCAGCTACAATAAATACACTGTCATACTGTTCAATTTGCATCCTACCATGACCTTGGAAAATAAAAATCTGTCACTTTCT